TCCAGAGGTTCGACCAACGCTCCAAACAAATGCAGAATCTTGAAAACTACCGTGTTGTAGAGTTCAAGTCCAAACCCAACACCCTCCTTCTTCCTCACCATGCTGATGCCGATTTCCTCCTAGTTGTCCTTAATGGTAAGTAATCAACTATAATCGCTATTGACTTAACATCATCACACTTTCCTTCTCCTGCACCAGTGATGCTAATCAATTTGTTAATTACAGGGACAGCCGTACTCACCTTGGTAAACCCTGACGGCAGAGACTCCTACATTCTTGAGCAAGGTCATGCCCAGAAAATCCCTGCGGGAACCATTTTCTTTTTGGTTAACCCTGACGACAACGAGAATCTCAGAATAATCAAACTCGCCGTACCCGTTAACAACCCTCACAGATTTCAAGTACTGCCTTCTGAACTAATTTTTGTTATTCTAACTTGCATTTTTTCTCCACGTGTGATGTTAAATGTTTGGCCTGTAGGACTTTTTCCTATCTAGCACAGAAGCCCAACAATCCTACCTGCAAGGATTCAGCAAGAATATTCTAGAGGCCTCCTTCGATGTAAGCAACCACATATTTGCGCTGCCATTCAGCTACTAGTTTGTCTAAATTTCACGTTTTTTTAATGATATCATTATCTATATTTGCATGATTTTTATAGAGCGACATCAAGGAGATAAACAGGGTTCTCTTTGGAGAGGAGGGACAACAGCAGCAAGGCGAGGAGAGTCAGCAAGAGGGAGTGATTGTGGAACTTAAAAGGGAACAGATTCGGGAACTGACCAAACTTGCCAAATCTAGTTCAAAGAAATCTCTTTCCTCCGAAGATGAACCATTCAACCTGAGAAACCAAAAACCCATCTACTCCAACAAATTTGGAAAGTTGTACGAGATCACACCGGAGAAAAACCCGCAACTTAAGGACTTGGACGTGTTCCTCAGTTCTGTAGATATGAAAGAGGTAATAAATACAAGGAAAAACCGTGTGGACAATCTCAGCAATTGAATTCTATTATTCACTGTAACGTCATAATTATAAGATCTTAGCACTGAGATCATAATTAAATAATGGTTGTTTTTGAAAAACTTCAGGGAAGCCTTCTTCTGCCACACTACAATTCTAAGGCCATGGTGATACTGGTGATCAATGAGGGAAAAGCAAACATTGAACTGGTTGGTCTAAGAGAACAAGAACAGCAGCAGCAAGAGGAAATGTTGGAAGTGCAGAGGTACAGAGCTAAGGTGTCAAAACACGATGTATTTGTAATCCCAGCAGCTTATCCAGTTGCCATCAACGCAACCTCCAATCTAAATTTCTTTGCTTTCGGTATCAATGCTGAGAACAACCAGAGGAACTTCCTTGCAGGTATATATATTAAATATCTTCTTGAATTTTAACATACCGCTCTTGTTTGTTTTAATCCTTATTTGGAACTTGTTTTATTTACAATTGATTGGTAACTCGTGATTGAAAATTTGAAGGTGAGAAAGACAATGTGATTAGTGAGATACCTACAGAGGTGTTGGATCTTGCTTTCCCTGCGCCTGGTGAGAAGGTTGAGAAGTTGATAGAAAAGCAGAGTGGGTCCCACTTTGTTGATGCACAGCCTGAGGAACAGCAAAGGGAGGAGGATCGCAAGGGAAAAAAGGGTCCATTATCTTCAATTTTGGACACTCTGTACTGAATAAGTTTCTAGTAATATAGCAGTGAGAGAGCTCATAGTGAGTGTGGAATTAACGTGTCGGATCATGTAACAAATAAGTAGAGCTCCACATGGCTTTTCCTACTATGAATAATGAATAAACTGAGCCTTTATAGTATGCTTGTGTTTTAAGTCCTTAGACTCTCTGCTCTGTCCTCGCTAATTTGTTATGGTTGTCATGTACCAAAGTACTTACGTAATTTGCTTTTAAGTGAAATATCTGAGTTATATACGACTCGTTTATTAAATAAGAAAAGGCTTTAATGCCAGATATATCTTATATTATAAAAAAAAAATCGGTTACAAAGAGCTAAGAGAGGTTCACAAAAGAAAAAAGGAAAACGAAGAAGGACGGAAACGAGGTTCCCATGGTATCGGCTCGTAGCCTCTGTAACGAGGTGGTTGGAGAGAGTCACCTTGGTCTTCAGTTGTATAGCCAACCAGTGTTATTAAAGTGTTAATAGAAGCTTATATGAGGTTGAAATCACTGCTTGATCATCAATAAAATTTGTTAACTAGAAATTCTGCTTCTGCTGAGCTACAACATCTTACTTCTTTGAACACTTAGAAAAGACACTTGAACATGTACTAAAACCGTACCACATTTATTTTTCATATCTTCCAAGCTACCTTCCCAATTACTATTAGACTTACTTGCAATTCTTGACTCCATAACTGAAAATACACTTGATGTATCTTACAACTGTCTTTGTAGCTTACTCGAAATAAGATTTTAGACCTTGACTCCGTATGGATACTACGCTTGATTTATCTTATAAATTGCTTTGTTGCTTTCAAGTAAAGTTTACTCAGATAGTGCATGAATCCTAACAACAACTTACTGGAAATAATATTTCACATCTTATAGATGTGAGATACTACATTAGACACTTAATCAAGTTTCTAAAATCAACTTCGTCAACTTTACCTGCAACACTCAGGTGAACTTCTCCTTATTCATAGGAGTTCATTGTTTTACTCATCAAAGTTAATTTTTTTCAAGAATATCTTTCTTTGACAAAGAAAGTCTTCTTCTTTTGAGTGATATCCGTCTCCAAGAAATAAGTCATAAGATCGAGATCAATTATCTCAAATTAATACATTTCATTTCTTGCTTAAAATCTTCAAGTAAAATTACGTCGTTTTTCTGTAATCAAATGAGTAAGATATCAGCACCAGCGTATACTTAACATAAATCTTAACTTCAGATAGCCTCTTTTGAAAACCAAAATGCAGCTGATGATAATTTATTTTGTTATACCACACTCTTAGAACTTGCTTTAAGCCATGCAAAACTTCTTTTTTCTAACAAGTAGACTGTCTTCTTGTTGCTCAACATAATTTCCTCTTGCAGAAAAAAGGCATACAATAATGTACAATTTTTGTCAGAAAAAAAAAGTAATATATTGAGTAGAATTTTTTTCTATTATTATTAAAGAATTATTGTTTACCTCAACTATACAACATAAATATTAGCCTTAGATATTACAGCTTCATGACCCTTTTATTGCATTCGAAAAGATGATCCATTTGAAAAGGTTGATAACTTTTCTCTTTAACACTGTTTTAGAATCCATATTTTAACAATTTTTTTTAATAACTTTTTTTGAATGGATTACGTGTCAGTATTTTATTGGTCTATATATTTGAAACGAATCAATCATAAACTATCACATAAATTGTTGTAAAAAAGTTTTAGAAAAAAGTTTTTTTTACAACTATTTTACAACCGCTTATGTGCTAGCTTGTGATTGATTCATTTCAAATATACGGATCAATAAAATAGTGAGAGTCTATTATCAAAAAATTATTAAAAATAGTTATTAACATATATGATGATCCTAGCTAGAGGTGCACCTTTCACAACACAATTTTCTATCATCAACGTTCTTCATACAATTTCTTTTTTCAACAATTCCATAAGCAAAGTCGTTTCCTAACTTTGTCTTGTTAACTATACTAAACAATTTATTTAAGTATGTCTCAAACCTTTTCATTCTTTGAAAACTTAAATTTCTTCATTTTATTAACACATACATGTTTTATATTCTTCTACTTTAATTTTTTTATCAACAATAAAATATATTAATTATAAAGTACTTTGAAAATGTTTCAATCTTTTTACACATGTAGACACAAAGAAAAAAAAATAGAAGCACAAAACAAAAATACACAGCCTTCATATTATAAAGAGAACCAGGTAATCCAGACATAAGAGACATACATCCAAAACTAAAAAAAAAAAAAATTGAGCATAATTTCTTCAAACACTTCATGTTTTTAAGATAAGACTTTTGTTTAAAGTGTTATCTAATGTTGCATATATAAAGTTCCGTTAGTAGATATGATAGCTAGACCATGCAATTTTTAAATATGATTCATTTCTTCATATTATAGAAAATTATGTGGGATTTTTATGGCGCCATCACATGTCACCAAATATTTCAAACTATTGTAAGAAGAATAGCTACTGCAACGTAAAAAAAAAAGTCTGAACTATACAAATAGTTAGAAAAATGTTTTTACCAACATTTTAACAATATAATTGGTCTATTTCAAATACTTTTTTTAAAAATAAATTTAAAAGAACCAATAAAATAATTACACAGTTGCAAAATGTTATTATAAAAAATTCTTAATGTATAAGAGTCCCAGTGATTAATACATACATAATTTTTTTCAATGTGCCTGTAAGTACACCTTAAAGAATTTAAAACAAATAAAACATTTAATATACCAAATGGTAATAACTATGTGTTGTTTAAGTAATTAAAAAAATCATCTTAGTAATACTTTTAATATTCAAGAGTAAATTAAAAAATATTTTTTATAATAATTAATCTAGATACTTTGTATTATTTATCATATTATTTGCTATATTTATTATTTTTCATTTTTTAATATGGCGTGTATGTTTAAGACATATGTCGAGACATAGTTATTTTTCAATTACAGCGTCTTACACATATGTACGTAGTTATTATGTGTTCCCATTCCATGTGAGTTTTGAAAGGTACTTTTTGAAATATACTAAGTTTGATGACAGTAATATGTTCTCATCACTTGTGTACACAACTTCTCTTACGAAAACCGTGATTTCTATCAATGTTTATAAGTTCAAGCCAACCCCAACAAAACCCAAAACCTGTATTTTCTTCTGCCAGCTCAACTTTGCTCAATTGGACACACGTCAACATGCAACCGAACCTATGGCAAAATGTGTATCCAAGCTAATTAAGAAAGTCTTCATTGTATAACTAATACCCGTAACATAACTCCGTGTTCTCATCAATGAAAGCAAGTGCAACAATTTGAACGGTTGCTACATATACTACTGCGATGAGATCACAGTTTCCTTTGTTCCTGGTGCTGGGAATAGTTTTCCTAGCATCAGTTTCTGTCTCATTAACGGAGAAGCCGAGTCGGAGCAAATGTGTGCAGACATGCGAGAGCGAGAAAGTTTCTGAGAGTGGGGAGAAAGAAAACGAAGAAGAAAGAGTGATTTCTGAGCCCCACCCATCACACGAGGAGAGGGGGCCTCGAGAGAGAGGACACCAAGAGGGTGAGAAGAAGGAAGAGGAGAAAGAAGAGCGTGAACAACCGCGTCCATTTCCACCTCCGCACTCAAGAGCGCATGAGCGTGAAGAAGAACAATGGAAAGGACGGCAACGTCGTGAAGATCCTGAAGAGAGGGAGAGGGTGAAGCAGAGGGAGAGGGAGAAGGAGAAAGTAATGAGGGAGAGGGAGAAGGAGGAAGAAATGAGAGAGAGGGAGAAGGAGGTAGAAATGAGAGAGAGGGAGAGAGAGAAGGAGAGAGAGAAGGGAGAGAAATACCGGGAGCACCATGAGAGCCGAGAAGAATTGGTTTCAAGTGGAAAAAATAACCCTTTCTACTTCAACTCTGACAGGTGGTTTCGCACTCTATACAGAAACGAATTTGGTCTCATTCGGGTCCTCCAGAGGTTCGACCAACGCTCCAAACAAATTCAGAATCTTGAAAACTACCGTGTTGTAGAGTTCAAGTCCAAACCCAATACCCTCCTTCTTCCTCACCATGCTGATTCCGATTTCCTCCTAGTTGTCCTTAATGGTAAGTAATCAACTATAATCGCTATTGACTTAACATCATCACACTTTTCTTCTCCTGCACCAGTGATGCTAATCAATTTGTTAATTACAGGGACAGCCGTACTCACCTTGGTAAACCCTGACGGCAGAGACTCCTACATTCTTGAGCAAGGTCATGCCCAGAAAATCCCTGCGGGAACCATTTTCTTTTTGGTTAACCCTGACGACAACGAGAATCTCAGAATAATCAAACTCGCCGTACCCGTTAACAACCCTCATAGATTTCAAGTACTGCCTTCTGAACTAATTTTTGTTATTCTAACTTGCATTTTTTCTCCACGTGTGATGATAAATGTTTGGCCTGTAGGACTTTTTCCTATCTAGCACAGAAGCCCAACAATCCTACCTGCAAGGATTCAGCAAGAATATTCTAGAGGCCTCCTTCGATGTAAGCAACCACATATTTGCGCTGCCATTTAGCTACTAGTTTGTCTAAATTTCACATTGCTTTAATGATATCATTATCTATATTTGCATGATTTTTATAGAGCGACATCAAGGAGATAAACAGGGTTCTGTTTGGAGCGGAGGGACAGCAACAGAAAGGCGAGGAGAGTCAGGAAGAGGGAGTGATTGTGGAACTTAAAAGCAAACAGATTCGGGAACTGACCAAACATGCCAAATCTAGTTCAAGGAAAGCCCTTTCCTCCGAAGATGAACCATTCAACCTGAGAAACCAAAAACCCATCTACGCCAACAAATTTGGAAAGTTGTACGAGATCACACCGAAGAAAAACCCGCAGCTTAGGGACTTGGACGTGTTCCTCAGTTCTGTAGATATCAAAGAGGTAATACAAGGAAAAACCGTGTGGACAATCTCAGCAATTGAATTCTATTATTCACTTTAACGTCATAATTATAAGATCCTAGTACTGAGATCATAATTAAATAATGGTTGTTTTTGAAAAACTTCAGGGAAGCCTTCTTCTGCCACACTACAATTCTAAGGCCATAGTGATATTGGTGATTAATGAGGGAAAAGCAAACATTGAACTGGTTGGTCGAAGAGAAGAACAACAGCAGCAGCAAGAGGAAAGGTTGCAAGTGCAGAGGTACAGAGCTGAGGTGTCTGAAGACGATGTATTTGTAATCCCAGCAGCTTATCCAGTTGCCATCAACGCAACCTCCAATCTAAATTTCTTTGCTTTCGGTATCAATGCTGAGAGCAACCAGAGGAACTTCCTTGCAGGTATATATATTAAATATCTCCTTGAATTTGAACATACCGCTCTTGTTTGTTTTATTCCTTATTTGGAACTTGTTGTATTTACAATTGGTAACGCGTGATTGAAAATTTGAAGGTGAGAAAGACAATGTGATTAGTGAGATACCTACGGAGGTGTTGGATCTTGCTTTCCCTGCGCCTGGTGAGAAGGTTGAGAAGTTGATAGAGAAGCAGACTGGGTCCCACTTTGTTGATGCACAGCCTGAGGAATAGCAAAGGGAGGAGGATCGTAAGGGAAGAAAGGGTCCGTTATCTTCCATTTTGGACACTCTGTACTGAATAAGTTTGTAGTAAGATACAAGTGAGAGAGCTCACAGTGAGTGTGGAATTAACGTGTCGGATCTTGTAACAGATAACTAGAGCTCCACATGGCTTTTCCTACTTTGAATAATGAATAAATTTAGCCTTTATATTATGCTTGTGTTTTAAGTCCTTCGACTCTCTGCTCTGTCCTCGCTAATTTGTTATGGTTGGCATGTGCCAAAATACTGCCAAGAAGAGTGTGTGAGGTTTGTTTGGATGGAAAGCAAACCAGAAAACCATTTCAAGCTCATTTAAGCATGAGACCCAAAGACTGTCTGGAAGTTGTGTATTCTGATATATGTGGACCCTTTGAGGTTCCTTCACTGGCTGGAAACAGGTATTTTATTACCTTTGTTGATGAGTATTAGATAGGGAGAGTGGAAAATTCTTCAAGATACCCAGAACAGATGGAGGAGGAGAATTCACCTCTAATGCCTTTAAAGATTATTGTCAGATTAATGGCATTGTGCATGAAGTCACAGCACCATACACACCACAGTATAATGGCCTTGCAAAGACAAGAAATAGGACAATCTTGAACATGGCTGGGAGTTTATTAAAGGAGAAAGGGTTGCCATAGTAATTTTGGGGTGAAGCAGTTTCAACAGCTGTTTACATTCTAAACATGTGTCCCACAAAGAAGCTAGAGTGAGTGAAGCCAAAATTGTTCATTTCAGAATTTTCTGATCATTAGCTTTTAAGCATATACCTGATCAGAGGAGAAACAAACTCCAAGATAAAAGTGAAGCAATGGTGTTAATTGGCTATCACCCTATAGGAGCGAATAAGCTCTTTGATCCAATCAAAGAGAAGGTGGTACTGAGTAGAGATGTTCTGGTGTTAGAACATGAAAGTTGGGAGTGGAACACATGCATACCAGTTTAAAGAAAAATGTTGTTGACAGCTCAGTATTATTGGACCCCGAGGTAGCTGCAGTGAATGATGTTGCACCACAAAGTGTTGTGTCTCAAAGGCCACAAAGGGAGAAAGTAGTGCCACACAGATTCTCTGATTTTGAGATGCACTCTGATGGACAAGTTAATGATGAGAGAGACTTGTTCCACATGGCACTAATGGCTGGAGCTGAACCAATTGATGAGAAGGAAGCCTTAAAGCAACTTCTTTGGAAAAATGCAATGGATGAAGAACTCAAGTCCATTGAGAAAAATGAAACCTGGACACTAGTTGATCTTCCAATTGGGAAGCATTGCATTTGAGTGAAGTGGGTATTTAAACAGAAATTGAATCCTGATGGTTCAATCTCAAAGCACAAGGCAATGTTTGTGGCAAAGGGCTTTCTTCAGCGCAAGGACTAGACTTCTCTGAAGTCTTTACACCAGTGGCTCAAATAGAAACAATACGAGTGGTTGTAGCTGTGGCTTGTGCACGGAATTGGCCAATGTTATAGCTTGATGTGAAGTGTGCTTTTTAGCATGGACCTTTGGAGGAGGAGGTATATGTCCAGCAACCTCTTGGATTTGCTGTTGCTGTGAAAGGGAAGGAACACCAAGCTTATAGGCTACAGAAAGCTTTATACGGGTTAAGCACACTCCAAGAGTTTGGAATAAGAAGATTGATTCCTTCTTACTCAGTCTCAAATTTACAAAGTGTGATGTTGAACATGGTGTGTATGTGAAAAAAGGTATGAGAGAAGACATGCTGATCATCTGTCTCTATGTTGATGATCTACTTGTAACTGGATCAAACATAAGAGACATTGAATATTTCAAAAAGGCTATGGAGGCTGAGTTTGAGATGACAGATCTAGGAAAAGTAAGTTATTTCCTAGGCATGGAGTTCCCCTGTACTGTTGTATGATTGGTTATGCATCAGAAGATGTTGGAGAATTGTTGAAAAGATTCAACATGGTTTCATGCAATGCTGCAATGAGTCTTGTGGACGAAACAATGTTCAAACAAATTGGCTCTTTGAGGTATTTGTTCAACAGATGACCAGATTTGTCCTTCTATGTGGGATTGGTGAGCAGATTCGTGAAGTCACGTATGCTAGTTGCCAAAAGGGTGTTAAGGTACATTCAAGGCACAACAAATTATGGAGTGTTGTTGGAAGACAGAAATCTAAGTTGGAGCTGACAGGGTTTGCAGACTCAAATTATTGTGGTGATCTGGTGGAGAGGAAAAGCACCTCAGACTCCTGTTTCCTGGTACTCCACGAAACAGCCTGTAGTGGCTCTATCCAGCTGTGAACAGCTGAGTATATAGCTGAGAGTTATGCAGCTCGTCAAGGTGTTTGGCTTGAAGAATTGTTGAAAGAGCTAAAGATCTCTACGAAGACACCGATGAAGCTAAAAATAGATAATGTTTTCTGCCATAAACTTATCTAGAAACCCAAAGATCTCTACGAAGACACCAACTAAGCTAAAAATAGATAATGTTTTCTACCATAAACTTATCTAGAAACCCAGTAAGTGCAAACATATAGAAGTGAAGTGTCACTTCCTTAGAGATAAAAGGAGGATTGCAGTGGCTTACAGTAAAATTGAGTTGCAATTGGCTAATGTCTTCACAAAAGTCTTGAAGATTGAGAAATTTGAAGAATATTAGCGCAGTTAATAAGTGAAGTTAGTTTTAGTGTTTCTGTTTTAACATAACCTTACCCGGTACCCTGATGTATATAAACTCTAAGCAGATTCAATAACAAAATAACACAGAAACCACCACTTCCACCTTCATGTTCTCTCTCTTTCTCCTAATGTGAAACCGATTCACAAGTGTGTGTGGAAAATTCTTTTAATTTGGAAATTGAGGGGTTGAGTGAATGAAACATAGACGAGTGAATGTTTTTAAAGAGAATTAGTGCTTTGTTTGTGTAACTATCTATGGGAGCATAATTAAATAGAAAAGTAATGTATCAATTTGGAAAGTCTTTTTATTCTTGTTTCCCTTATTCTCTTCTGTCCATTATGGTTTGATTTGTATTGGAACAAGCGGACTGAGTTTCATCTGTTTTCTGCATTCTATCTGTTTGTGATAAAGTCTAAATGATACACATTAAAATTGAAAGTTCATTGTTAAAAATAAAAATATAGCAACCATTAATGATGAGGCCAGTTATTAACAATTATAATTTATAGAAACCATGAGCTAGTTATTAAAAATTAAATTTTATTTCTACAAATACTAATTTTTATTATGTTTTAGTTGGAAGATAATCACTGAAACTTAAAAATGCCTACATGGGACAAATTCTTGAACACTTTATTTTTTTAAACCATTGGCTTCCAACTTTTCATTTATATTTTCAAAGTTGTTTAATTGAATTCATTTGCCTTTCTCACTATCTAATTTATTTATCCATTTAAGTTCATACCCTGTTCTTAACATTTCATTTACTTCTCAGTAATTCACTGTTTTATTTAAATTCATGCATGCCCCTTTTGGTGGTAATTTAATTTTTAGTCATTTATTTGCTTTCATTTTAATTCATTAATTTTGTAGTACTTCCAGTACTTTTCTTTCCACCATTTAATTGCTCATGATATTAAGTTTTTGCTCATCTCAATTTTGTCCCCATGAATATTTAATATTGATAAAATCTGCCCACAAAACAGGTAAATATCTTCCAAAACAAGTGTTTCCTCCCTTAAATCAAGATTATCCAATATTAATTAATTATATTTTTAAAAAAGAACAAGGATTTATTTATTTGAAATTGGTTTTAAGAAATATGCCTACCGTTGGTAGATAAATAGAGTGAAAAGAGTGAGTGAAAAGAGTGAAGCATGGTTAGACAAAAAAGATTGGTAGATAAATAGAATGACAAAAAAGATTGGTAGATAAATAGAATAAAAAGAGTGAAGCATGATTAGAAAAAAAAGTGAAGCATAGTTAGACAAATGTAGGAATTTGAAATTAGTTTAGATAAAGAAAGGGTTGTATAGAATGCCAATAATGAAGAGGTCTTCTAGAAGAAAACTTGAAACTTGTTGCTTTATGGAGTCCCTCGCAATTTGATATCATTTAGACCTTATCACAAACAGGTAGAATGCAGAAAAGAGAGGAAGCTCATGAGTCCACTTGCTCTACGAATCAAACCACAGTACACCAAAGAGAATAAGAGAAACAAGAACAAAAAGTATTTCCAACTTGATATATTACTTTTCTATTTAAATATGTTTCCAGTTTCACAGACAAAACACCAATTTTATTTAAAACTACTCATTCATCTATATTCCATCCACTCAATCCGTTCATTCCCAGTTGAGAAAAACATGAGATGGAACTGATGGTTTCAATGGACTTCAACTTCAACATGAGATGAAGTTAATTTTAATAATCACTCAAAATAATTAACTTCAAATAAAGAACTTTAATCTTTTGAAACACGAAGTATTAAAAATCTTTTACACATATTTAAAAAAAAAAGTTAAAAGAACAATTAAGAATATTTGAAACCTATTTCTTTTGGATGAAGGTATAGATATCTAATGATGATGATACATCACTCCATTTTTCACTTACATAATTTCAATAAAACTATATTTTTATATTTTGTAAAAGGTGTTAAATAACATCTACACAACTCTAATAAGACTGTATTTTTATATGTTTTACTCTACACCTATACAATTGCTATAAAATTATATTTTCTTATTTTAAAATATAAAATAATTTAGAAAAAATTAAATATAAAAAGTAAAAGTACTAACTACAAGATGACACGTTACATCTAATTATTTCCAAATTTTAAAAATAAATATCCAAAAAAAAAGAGTAAATAACTTAAAAAAATCACCAAAAAATAGTAACTATATAAATGATTAAACTTAATAATTAATAATGATAACACAAATCTTCTACTTTAATTTTTTATCAACAATACAAATATATTAATTATAGAGTATTTTGAAAATGTTTCAATATTTTTATAAATGTAGACACAGAAAAAAAAAATAGAAGCACAAAACAAAAATACACCGTCTATATATTATAAAGAGAACCAGGTAATCCAGACATAAGATGACGTACATCCAAAACTAAAATAAAAACAATATTGACCATGATTTCTTCAAACACTTCATGTTTTTAAGATAAGAAAATTATGTGAGATTTCTATGGTGCCATCATATATTTGAAGATGTCACCAAAAATTTCCAAAACTATTGTAAGAAGAATAGTTACTCCAACATAAAAAAGAAGTCTGAACTATGCAATGGTTAATACATACATAAACCTTCTACCTTCTACTTTAATAATACCGTTTAATACATACATAAATTTTTTTAATGTGCCTGTAAGTACACCTTAAAGAACTTAAAACAAACAAATCATTTAATACATCAAATGGTGATAACTATGTGTTATTTAAGTAATTAAAAAAATCAACTTAGTAATACTTGTAATATTTTTAATATTCAAGAGTAAATTAAAAATATATTTTGTTATAATAACTAATCTAGATACTTTGTAGTATTTATTATATTATTTGCTACATTTATTATTTTTCGTTTTTTAATTTGGTGTGTATGTTTAGGACATATGTGAGTTTTCTTTGAAATATACTAAGTTTGATGACAGCAATATGTTCTTATCATGTATAGTGTATATCTCCTCCATTGTCACCTTCACTTTCTTTTCTTTATCCACCAGCTGTTCAAGGTATCCTAATCCATATATATCCAAAAGGACTGCACCCAAATGCCATGCACAACAACACGTAGCTGTTCACCATTCCCGTTCTAATGACTCATCATCCAAGATTACGATTCCACTCATACACCTTTTTTTCAATATTTTAAGGTGAGTAAATCATTCTCAGTAACCAACAAACTTCTCTTACTATGTTTATAAGTTCAAGCCAACGTGAACAAACCCCAAAACCTGTATTTTCTTCTGCCAGCTCAACTCTGCTCAATTGGACACACGTCAACCCGCAACCGATCCCGTGGCAAAATGTGTACGCAAGCTAATCAAGAAATTCTTCTATTGAATAACTATAAATACCCGTAACTTAACTCCGTGTTCTCATCAATGAAAGCGAGTGCAACAATTTAAGCGGTTGCTACATATATTACTGCGATGAGATCACAGTTTCCTTTGTTCCTGGTGCTGGGAATAGTTTTCCTAGCATCAGTTTCTGTCTCATTAACGGATAAGCCGAGTCGGAGCAAATGTGTGCAGACATGCGAGAGCGAGAAAGATGCGTCCAGGGTGCAAAAATGTCAGCTTCGTTGCAAGCACGTTTCTGAGCGTGGGGAGAAAGAAGAGGAAAGAGTGATTCCTGAGCCCCACCCATCACACGAGCATGAGCGTGAAGAAGAACAATGGAAAGGACGGCAACGTCGTGAAGATCCGGAAGAGAGGGAGAGGGTGAGGCAGAGGGAGATGGAGAAGGAGGAAGTAATGAGGGAGAGGGAGAAGGAGAAAGAAATGAGAGAGAGGGAGAAGGAGGTAGAAATGAGAGAGAGGGAGAAGGAGAAGGAGAGAGAGAAGGGAGAGAAATACCGCAGACGTGAGAAGAAGGAGAAATGGGAAGAGGTAGAAGAAGATCGAGGTTTCCCAAACTCAGACTCACAAACACAGAACATACCTTTTCACTTCAGCTCGAATAGATTCCATACTCTTTTCAAGAACCAACACGGTCACATCCGTGTCCTTCAGAGCTTTGACCAACGAAGCTCCACACAGCTTCAGAACCTTCGAGACTACCGTGTTGTGGAGTTCAAGTCCAGACCACACACCCTTCTTCTCCCTCACCATGCAAATGCTGATTTCCTCCTCGTTGTCCTTAGCGGTGAGTAATTACTTAATACAACCGATTAAATTCCGTCTCTTGCTTCTTGTATAAATAATGGTAATCAATTTTCTAATTACAGGGAGAGCCTTAATTAACTTGGTGGAACCCGACAACAGAGATCCCTACTACCTTGACCCTGGTTATGCCCAAATAATTCCTGCGGGGACCACTTTCTATTTGGTTAACCCAGAGAGAAACAAAAATCTCAGAGTAATTAAACTCGCCATACCCGTTAACAAACCTGGCAAATTTGAGGTATTTTCTTTTCTTTATAACCTAATCAATCATTTCTTCTTTTAATCTGTTTCCAAACGTGAAGATCAATACTTTTCCTTTCTCTCTAGAATTTCTTCCTATCTAGCACCCAAGAACAACAGTCCTACCTGCAAGGGTTCAGCGAGGATATTTTAGAGGCCTCCTTCGATGTACGTAATCAAGGAATCATCTAATTAAATTCCCACTTTCTGGTTTGTGTAAATGTCACACTATAAATATTACCATTATATATATTTGCTTAATTTTATAGAGCAAATTCGAGGATATAAGCAAGGTTCTGTTTGGAGAGGAGAGAATGCGGCAGAGGCAGCAAGAGGGAGTGATTGTGGAACTGTCAAATGAAAAGATTCGGGAACTGAGTAGAAAAGCCGAATCCAGTTCAATGAAAATCAATTCCTTCGAATATAAACCGTTTGACTTGAGAAGCTCCCACCCAATCTATTCCAGCAAGCTTGGCGCGTTTTTTGAGATCACCCCAGAAAACAATCCCCATCTTCAGGAGTTAAATATCTTCCTCAATTATGTGGATATCAACAAGGTAAGCGCAAAAACCTTATTGACTAACAAAACTGGACAAGTTGAGTTCTGTTGAGAATGATATATTTTTTTGTGTGTTTTCTTGGTTACCATATATAGGGAGGTCTTCTTCTGCCACACTACAATTCTAAGGCCATAGTCATACTAGTGGTTAATGAGGGAGAAGCAAACATTGAACTTGTTGGCCTAACAGAACAACAACAACAGAAGCGGCAAGAAGTGCAGAGGTATACAGCTGAGTTGTCTAAAGACGATGTATTTGTAATCCCAGCAGCTTATCCAGTTGCCATCAACGCTACCTCCAATCTAAATTTCTTTGCTTTCGGTATCAATGCTGAGAATAACCAGAGGAACTTCCTTGCAGGTATATCTATGTATATATATATATATATATATATATATATATATATATATATATATCAATTTGAATATACTGCTATTGTTTGTTTTATGGGGTTGTTTGTTTACAATTTGTAATGCGCGATTGGAAAATTGAAAAATTGAAGGTGAGAAAGACAATGTGATTAGCGAGATACCACGACAAGTGTTCGAGGTTGCGTTTCCGGGGAGTGGTGAGGATGTGGAGAAGCTAATAAAAAAGAAGAGAGAATCATATTTTGTGGCTGCGCAGCCTCAGCAGAAGGAGGAGAATCATATTCCTTTGTCTTCAATATTGGGCGCTCTCCACTAAACATGGCCATCAACTAAACTCTACGGTGCAGCAGTTCATACCGAGTGACGAAAGTATGTAATAACTTGAGCACCGCTTTTGTATTAAGAATAAATAAATTTAGCATTATGTTGTATTTACTAATTTGAAGCGACTATAATGCTCCCGATCTAAGAATGTATTTATTAACATAAAACGTCTTGTTAAAACTAGATATTGACTTAACTGATAAATATATAATGAAATGAAAAACAAAGATGACTCATAAATATGTAATGAAATGAAAAACAATGAAATGACAATACAATCTATGCTAATGTTAATTTCATTATAAATATATACATCTATTTTGATCAGAAAACCTTTTAAGCTACATGTGCAATTGGAAAACACCCTCTATGGACTCCGTTGCATTCTACAAATCATGGTTTGGCTCGTCCTCTGCTTCCAACTTAGGCTCGTCTTCTGCCACCAATTTAGGATGCACCTCATTCTTCTTAGGTGATGGGGATGTGGGTGGGGTCGAGATATAGTTGTTGTAGTCTTCTTCTGTTGGTACAGGATATTCTTTTGGTCCATTATCTTCTACTAAGCTGTCTACAACATACAAAGATATTTCAATTAAATTAGAGAGCCTAAATTTATCAAGTTTCTTTATGAAGAAAACACCCACAGGCACATTCAAATCTGAAACTTGATTTTTTATTTAAATTCAAATCAACTCAATCAAACAAAATGAAATCATTCTGTGGAAAATTCAAAACCTGAAGTAATGAAAGTGAGAAAAAATATTATAAAAATTATTGACAAAAGTAAGTTACATGATATTTGGAAGAGTGAAATATGGAAATCCTAACTATGATGACAAAATCAGAACATGCGTGTATAACTTTTAGGAATGATCATGACGTGTATGATTTTACTTTTAACAATAATGCGAAATGTTTAAGATATAGGCAGACTTAACCTCTTGAACGTTGCATAGTCATAAAACAATGAGATGAAAATGAAACTGCACGTGTTAACATCCAAAAATCAGGTACGGGAAGAGAGATACGATATCCATAAAAATTAAATTACCGCATAGTGCTGGGTTTTTGCAGCGACCATTACACCACCACTTGCAGAAAGATCGAGGGTAAATGCAAGCTTCAGTGCAATAATTGTAGCAGCCTCTGCGTTTTTCTTCAAAGGTCTCAGCTTTAACACATGCAACGACTACATGGCAAACCAACAACAATGCAATGTATTTGTCTCCCATCTCACCTTCTTACTTATTCCTTTGTTTTCTTTTACTGGTTGTTGGCAATGGTGGTTTGTTAATAATTCCTCCTTCCCTAGTTCCATGCCCTAGTTTTCTAATTATGATGGGCACATATATAGCTGGATAAATGACTCCTAAACCGCATATCGTGTCATGGTTATTTACTAAATTTTGGGATCTTGCTATTAAGTGTCATAATGTTAATACAAAGAAAATATATATTTGCTAATTATTTGCATAAAAATAGGTTTTGCTTTTCCTTGTTACAATGACACATTCTTTATCGGTTATGTCAGAACCTTATCTTGCTTTCAGTTTTGGAGACCATTATTTAGACGGTTGAAAAAATAAAAACTAGTAAAGATATAGTTCGTTTGGAATAACATTAATAATGACACTGAATAGGAAGATCCCAAAATTTAGCAATAAAGCATGAGATAATTTGCGGTTGAGGAGTGATTTATCCAGCTATATATGTACGGCCATCATTGCTAGAAAACTAGGGCATGGAACTAGGGAAGGAAGAATAACAAACAAAGCAGCATTAGCAATAACCAGTAAAAGAAAACAAAAGTGAAATGGGAGAGAAATGCGTCGCATTGTTGGTGGTGTGCCTTCTGATGGGTGTATCTGTTGGGGCAATGACATATGAGGAAAAACGAAACGACTGCAACAGTTATTGTAACCGTGCTTGCATGTTCCCCGCCTCATTCTGCAAATGGTGGTGCGGAGGCCGCTGCGAAAACCCAATACTTTGGGGTTAGTTCATTTTCTTCCACTTCATATTCAATATTAATCACTTCTATAACATGCTATATGCTTTTTTCTTTCTTTAGGTTCAGATATCTATTGACTCCTAATTTTATTTTATGTTTCGCTGGAAAAACAAATATATAGAAGACAGCCTAATTGTGGATGTAACAAAGAAGTATCCTGTTCCAACCGAAACAAGTTACAAGGCTTATAAGGCTGCACATCCTGAAGAAAGTTCTTCCAAGACTGAGATGTAGAACAAAATGGAAACAAAAGACTGTGTTTGCCAAGGTTTTCATGTTAGATTCGAATGTGTAGCCCAAAAGCTTCCCTTATCAAAATAAACTATTGGATCAAAATAAATTATTGGAAAATGTTCTTAAACAATTTTTTTTTTCAAAAATTTGTTAAAAATAGTTGTTAACATTTCATAGTCCTAAATTAATTATTAGCATTCTATAGCATCTTCGTAATACTTTTACATTACTTTGCTATAATCTAATATTTTTTGTTTTAGTTTCTAATTTTGTTTTTTTACCTTTGACCATATTTTGTACTTCTATATTAATATCAGTTATGTATGAATTTTTAATTTTGTTTTATTTTACCTTGACTGTTTTTCCTTTTTTTTCTCTTTTCATCTCTCACCACCTTTCTCCCTTTCTCCATCTCCCTCAATCTCCTACCAAATACCAAATAAAGTGATTGAAAATCATTCCTATTTTTTTAAAAAATAACTATAATGGTTATTTTATCCTTGTTTTAAAAATAAAAGTTAGAAAATCTTACATTTTATCTTTTGATTAAATTTAAACTGTTTTGTACATATTTCAATTTCATAAATTTGATAAAGTCTGAACATGGAGAAAAAAATTTAGTTTTTATGAAATATTTTGACTAAGTAAAATGAAAACAATAGTAAAAAAATTAATAAGAAAAGAAAAAAATATTAATTAATTAAATGTATATATATTAAAAAAATTATGTAGAGAAAGTTTCTAAGCAGTAAGAAAAAAGAAAAAAAAAATATTTGTTTTGGAATTTTATCGGCTGTTCACCCTTTTTACTTGTGCCAATCCAATTACTTTTATTATTATTATATGTAGAGAAACTTACTTTAATATCATTATGATCAAATCCACGTAAATAAGGATAAAGTAATATAATAAATATAAATCTCAATACAATTATTATTTTATTCACATGAATTTAAAATTACTTAATCACATACATATATATCATTTCTGTAATGAGTTTCATCTATAATAATTCATTCACATACAACAATAACATCTACAAGGAGCAATACAATTACAAAGGACAACAAGCCTGCAAAACACACCTAAAAAAGATCATAATACAGCATTAGGTATTTACATATACAATCGTATCTCACAGCATTCCAAATATACATTTGTATAACCGGTTCGATCGGATACAAACGGAACCGGATACAAGGTTAGCTCACTGATTCATTTAATTATAAAATTCTTTTAAAATAAAAAAATTATAATTTTTTAATTTAAATTTAAATAAATTTTACTTTTTTTAATTTAAATTTAAATAAATTTTATTTTAAAATAATATTAAACTATAAAGACCATTCAAAATAAAATAAAAATATCATAATCCAAATGTAATTTAAAAACAAGCACAAAAGCCAAACAAATAAGTTTGTAATATTAATAATTTTTATCACTTATCCATTTCTAATATCATAGTTTTGAATAGATAAATCTACAATATTTTTCTTTCTTGAAATATCTTTGTTTTTATCTCATCTACAATATAATAAAAAAATGTTAACTAATAATATTGAAATACAAAATAATAAATTATTAAATTAAATTAGGTGGATTGGTGAGTCAACCCTGACTCACCATGGGTTCAACCCGAGTAAGGATAAACCGGATTCTAAGTAAGTCGAGTTAAAAACTAACTCATATAAAAAATTATATTTTTTTCAAATCTAATCTGACTCAACCCTATAATGAACTAAGTTGACTCGCGGATTACAACTCATTTTAATAGGAAGGTGTTTCATTATTCTTTTAACATGAAATATATCACAGAATATATATCATAATTTTCTTAACAAAATTATAAACAGAAACTCCTTGTTTGTACCTAAAAATAACATATTTTATCTACCTTTCTCTCACTTGAATAATAAATCTCTTGATTGAACTAAAATCGTCTCTCAAGCCTGGAAACTCCAAATAGCAAATGTCTTCGTTTTATTTTTACTTGAACGAAAATACATTGGATACAAATATATGCAAAATTGTAAAAAATTCTACAATTAACGAGATCAATCCAAAACATTTCATAATAATTTCAACAATAAACAAACACCGTCTCTTTTATAATTCATAACATCAAAATTTTGTTTATAACCTCAAAAGGAATCTCAAACTTCAATTTCATTTGAACATTACATTCCCCGATAACAACAATTCACCAAACATTTCAACATAATATCTTATATATATATATATATATA